TGCTTTGCAAATTCAGGTACATCAAATCACTTCATTTCCTCTTCCTTAATTGAGACTGTTAATTGAGAATTTCAAGACTCCCTCCACTGTAGAAAATCCTGTGACTCTCTTCTGAGTAGAGGTGTTTTGTCTATTTAATGATATCTTTTTGAGTGCTATCTTCCAATTAGTTGGACAAACATTACTCTTGCCTATCTCTATCCCAAAGGGGGAATGCGCTGGAGTAACATCTGCATCTCTGCAGAAGTATCTGACTCTTTTGTCCAGAGTTGATGAGGGTTACAATTAACACATTTGAACTCTATTAGCATGGTCTATAGGACTCTGAAAAATGTCTGGGGACATGGGGCAGGGTGAAGGGTGGAGATCAGCTTATTCTCAACTTCTACTATAAACAAATCAAGCAGAAAAGGACGCAGACTCCTCCACAAATAATGTAAATAATACTACCCAGAATCAGCCTACAGAGACAGTTGTTAACGTGGCAGATCAGAGTTAGAAAGGTCTTAAAGCTTTTGAAATTGCAAGAGTACCTGTTTCATAGAGTGGGCGGGGTATGTAGGAGAGCCTTTTTAACTAAATTTGTTGGGTTGGTCTTTCACTTGCACCACATTTTTAGGCAGACTGCTTTTATTTTATTAATTTTGCAAACATTTACTGAGCACCCACCTTTTGCAAAGCACCACGTCAAAAATTCTGATAGTGTGGGAGATGTGTTTTCCAACTTGACCACAAAATTAACTTCCATCCCACATGCCCTTCTTAAAATGACTTTAACACTCCTGTTGGGAAATGTGGTCTCTATTCCCTCCTCCACAAAATTGCGTGGGCTTTTGTGACCAACAGAGAATGGTGGAAGTAACACAATCAAGCTTCCAAAACTAGGTCATAGTAGGTGAGACAACTTCTACCTTCTCACTGGAATTCTCTCTCGTAAAACTTCTAACTGCCATGGAATCAGTTTCTGGCCTGACGTTGTCATTCTGGGAGGAAGCCCAAACTAGCTCATGTGGAGAAGACCACAGTGAGAAACCTTGAGATGACATGAAGTTAATAGCTGCCCAGCCGGCCCCCCCAGCTGTTCCAGTCCCTACTTCTCACAATCTCAGCTCTGGCCACCATCTGACTACAGCTGCATGCCACACCCTAAGCCAGAGCTGCTCCAACGAGCCCTCCCCAAATTCTTGACTCACAGAGAGCATGAAGCATAATGAAATGATTGTCTTAAGCCACTAAGTGTGGGGATGAAATTGTTACACCGGAACAGAGAGGTACAAAGAGAGTAGTTCATGATCTTTGGGCTTCCAGGAACTTGAAATCCAAGCGGGAAGACCAAATACACATATAAGGAGAACAAAAGAGGAGAAGGGCAGAGGCAGACCAAAAAGGCTAGCAAGGGGCTAAATATGGGAATAGACTGACTGAGGTTTTCAAACTGGTATGGAGAAGTCACTTTCAAATATCAGACCCATTGCTTGTTGTTGCTGAGAGTGCCAACAGGGCCTGAAGACCAAAGAGCTGTCAAAGAATGGGGCAATTTTTAAATACAACTTCTGATTTATAGTTAGTGGTAGAAATTCTTACAACTTTGAAGTAACGTGAATTCACATTCCCATTTTTACGGGAATAATAATAATAAGCATTTGCATGCATTATCTTATTTGATCATGAGAAAACCCCAATAGATTATCAATTGGTCCAGCTTTATAATTCTACTGGAGCATTTATTTTATTTGGTATTTTTTTAAGATTTTATTTATTTATTTGACAGAGAGAAACACAGAGAGAGAGGGAACACAAGCAGAGGGAGTAGGAGAGGGAGAAGCAGGCTCCCAGCTGAGCAGGGAGCCCGATGCGGGGCTCGATCCCAGGACCCTGGGATCATGACCTGAGCCAAAGGCAAACACTTAACGACTGAGCCACCCAGGCGCCCCTGGATCACTTATTTTAAAAATTTAAGAAATGTCTGGCTCAAATTAAGCAATTAAACATAACACATACTAATTCTGGGCAGAGAAGCAATATAGTAAACGAAATGGCAAAGGAAAAACAGGACATAATTCATGCCATGAAGTAGTTTAAAACCTCATTGGGCATTTGTAACATAGAATCACACACACATATACACACAAATAGTTAACAACAGTAAAGAAGAAACGTTAGGCGTGCAACGTTAGGTAAAAATGAAATACAGAGTCTGCCTTAAAGTAGCCTTTCACCTCAGGCGACCCTTGCACTAAATGCTATTTATGATTCTGACCCAGTCCTAATAATAAAAATCCAAGCTCAAGTAGATTGAATCTTCCATTCTGTATGCCCTGGCCTTTGCCCTAAAGATGATAATGAAACAGAAGCATTTCCTGGATCACATATTTTGCCTAGAAGGTCTTCAAATCACTAGGGTAGCATTTCTCAAAATGTACTTCATAGAACTTTGTTCCCATAAGATGTCTTACTACACACACACACACACACACACACAGAATTTTAGAGTGACCTAAGTTCTTCATAGTATATCCTTTCAATGCACACTAATGTATTAAAGGTTCTGAGAAGTCTGGCAGGTAAGAAGCGTACATAACTTTGATTAATCAAAGGTTTCCCAAACTTTTTCGAACATAGAAACTTCCCTCTCTTCCTCCTTCCTTCCTTTTCTTTTTTTTTTTCTTTTGTTGTTATTGTTTCATGCAATACTTATTAAAACATTTTAGGCACTGCTACTTTAGGGACAAAAAGTGATAAAGTGAAGTGAGCTTTACCCCCTCTTTTGTGTCTTCCTAACCACATGGCCCTTAGGTAACTTACTAGTTTTTCTGAGTTATTCATCTGTAAAAGATAATTCTATAATAAATTCTACCTCACATAGTTACTGTGAGGTGATAGATAGATAATGGCTTTTGTTTCCCTTTCCCTGGAGAATTAATTTTCTTCTTAAAGGTGAGACCAGGGGCGCCTGGGTGGCTCAGTCGGTTAAGCGGCTGCCTTCGGCTCAGGTTGTGATCCCAGGGTCCTGGGATCGAGCCCCGCATCGGGCTCCCTGCTCGGCGGGGAGCCTGCTTCTCCCTCTCCCTCTGCCTGCCTCTCTGCCTACTTGTTCTCTCTCTCTATCTCTCTGTCAAATAAATAAATAAAATCTTTAAAGGTGAGACCAGAACAGAACTCTCAGGCTTGCTGCAGTGCAGATCCTTGCCCTAATGTTGGACCAATCACACTCTGCTCCTACACACATACACTGGACCCAAAAGGAAGTAAACTTGGCCAAAATATTCTCCTTGCTAGAGTCTCTGGCTTTGACCCTGGCAGTCACGGACTGGGTTAGATTTGCAGAAGCACAAAGTGATTAAACCCTTAGCATCTTAATCAGAGTGCCTCGGTTCCAATTCCGTTCCCACCATATATTAGCTGCATAGCCTGGGGCAGTTACTTAACTCTGCACCCCAGTTTTTCCAACTGTAGCATGGGGACAAGCTACTACCTAGGAGGTAGTAGCTACCTCCTAGGATTGTTATGAATTTAGATAATTAATATTTTGAACAGTGTCTGGAATATGACATGATGTTAGCTATTATAATAGCTTTATAAATATAGAGGTAGGTATAAAATTGAATACCTGGTCCCACTTTAGATCTAAAATAGCCAAATAGTTGGGGTAAAATTTTTTTTGGTACTGTACTGTGCTTTGTTTTTGGAATTATGACAGTTTTCCACTTTGCTAGCTTGAACCTGGCCTCAGAAATGACACTACCACTATGATCTTCATGAATCACTGTAACTTCTTTGTCATGCTCTTTAGGCTCTCAAGCCTTGGGAGGTTCAAAGAAATCAGATAAATGTTTCTATATTACTCAGACAGACTCTATTAACCCTAATGGAACAAGGTGATGTCTTTTTAATGCATAATGATTGGGTTTAATAAGAGGAAATTTGGCTCAGTGTGGTTATCAGCATGGATATGCAGCATAAAAAGTTGGTGGGCACCGTGAAAATTTCACAAGGTTGAAATGAGGGCAAAGCTCAGCATGTGGGGTGAGCTGCAAGAATGCTCTTAGCACAGTGGTTATTAATATCTGCTAAAGAACCTGACCTTTGTTGCTGTAAATAAGACCAGATAATGACACGTTCATTCTAAGAGCAACTTTGAGATGAAAATTGAGGCATTTGTCAAAAGGAAAAGGAAAGTAATTTGTACTAAAATGAAATATGGAGCTTTAGCGTTAATATCTGACAGCTTTGGCCCTTGTCATGAAAGATTTGTGACTTTAGGTAATGATTATAATTAGCATTCTTGTCCATGAGGGCTTGTATTCTCTCATTTTCTGGAAGAGAAGGCTGGAAGGAACGTGATATGTACAAATAGTCTTTGGGAAGGACATATTTTCCCCCCTCTTTTTCCGGATGAGTTTGCTGTTGTTCTCCTTACCTCAATAATTTATTCAAGATGAAAAGAACTTTGGGGCCATAGATTCACAGGCAAATAAGGTGGCCACCCTTGAGCGCTGGAGTCACTTTTTCCACCGCTGACTCACAAGCAGGTGAACAAACAAACAAACCTTCAAGGAAGCGTCAAGCCCAATTTGTTTATACTTACAGTGTCCCCATGGCGCCCCGTTGCCCCTGTCTGCTCCTGAAGGTAAGATGTGTTTTCAGGGAGGCAGTTCATCAGAATGACCAAAATTTAAAGGAATTCTTTTAATCCAAAGTTTGATCTTTCCCCCCAGCCTTTGAGGTGCACACCCAAACACACAGAGACTGTGCTGTAATGTGCTGTAAATCATCAAAATGTGCGAAAACAAGGACTTGTTTCCAAGTCAAATTTCATTTTCATTCTTCAGGGTTAAATCCTGTCTCGTTTCATCTTTTGCTCCGTTCTCACCCTTTCAGGTTAAATGAAAGTTGGCGCCATATCAAGGACCGAACTGTGACTTTCATCCAGGTCACGCGGTCAGCAGGCGGTTATCTTTCCTTATAGCACTGACATTATTATAGAAACATGCCTGAGCGGCTGGAGCTCAGATGCGTTGCTGTGACAGAGCCTGTGCCCGAGACCCTCCGTGACTGCTGTCTGCCAGGCAACACATTTTGTGCTGCACAGGTGAGATGAAGGGGCGTAGGACAGAATTCCTCTCTAGTTGGGATGAAATAAAAAAAGTTAAAAAGCATGCTAAGTTTTAAGTAGTGGATCAAGGCCCTGAAGTAGATAGGCCTCTAAGTCATGCACCTTAATTGGCAAATGAACTATCCCGAAAATAATTACTATTAGAGTATATGGTTGAGGGCGCCTGGGTGGCTCAGTTGGTTAAGTGACTGCCTTCGGCTCAGGTCATGATCCTGGAGTCCCAGGATCGAGTCCCGCATCGGGCTCCCTGCTCGGCGGGGAGTCTGCTTCTCCCTCTCCCGCTCCCCCCTCTTGTGCTCTCTCTCTCACTCTCTCTCTCAAATAAAAAAAAAAAATCTTAGAGTATATGGTTGAGAGTCAGTACTTCAGTATGAATTTTCCAGATGATTTGGGAAGTGAAATTTGAGCTGGGTTCAATAGGAAGGTAAGTGGCAGCTTTTAGGCTAGGCAGAACTGGGCCGAACTCAGGCAGTGGGCAAGCATCTGGTGTTTCGTAAAGAAAGTAAAACAGAAGTTTAGTGAGAAGGTGGTCAGGGATAAAATGGAAATGGGGACTCTCAGATTGTGGAGGCCTTCACATTTGCAACAGAAGCATTTGGATGTCTAATTTCTGGGTAATGCGGAGCCACTGAAAGCTTATTAACATGCAACAGTGAGGGCCAGAGAGTTTGCAATCAAACCTAGTATAAGAATGAAACAGAGAATTTTCAATTATTCAATTTAATCACGGGTGGGAATTTGATTGGTCCCAAGCATGGACGCTCAAGGCCAATTTGCCAGGCTTCCTTCCAACCTGGCAGGCACAGGAGAGGAACAGCTGCGACACAGTGGCTGGTCTGTGGTCTGCGTGCCCACAGACCTGACTTCTAGTTAGTTCTCAGCTACATGCTTGCTGCTTGGCTTTGGGCGGTTAACTCCTCAGAGCCTCAGTTTTCTCATCTGCAAAATGGAGATACAGTATCTCCAATGGTGGTCACAGTAATGAGAAATGATATGAGTTCCTGGATCATAGCTTATACTCAATGAAACGTAGCTGGTTTTAGTTTTATTGTCATTATTACCATCATCAAGCCATCTCACATACAAGCTTGAAGATTGCAGCTGGATTAATTCTGATTTATTAACCCTGTTATTTGACCAAAAATGCTTATTAAAAATGTCTGATTGGGGCACCTGGGTGGCACAGTCAGTTAAGCATCGGACTCTTGTTTTCGGCTCAGGTCGTGATCTCAGGGTCATGAGATCCAGCCCCACGTCTTCAGGGATGGGTGCTTAAAGGAGAGTCTGCTAAAGTTTCTCTCTCTCCCTCTCCCTCTGCCCCACCCCCTCCCACCAAAATAAATAAATATATCTTTTTTTAAAAAAACGTCTGATTGGCAGGGGGCAGCAAAGTCATCTTCACATCTGAACGTCAACACCTTCCAGCTAGCAGAGTGTGCCCTGTTTGCAAGTGCTCTGCCTCCTCAGAGGAAAGTAGCAGGTGGGAGTCCAGGGTTTCACTGAATCTGGCTCCTAGTTTGTCGATTCCCCCTTAATGACTGAGACTCTGGGGGAGGAGAGCACAGATGAGGGCACTTTAGGAGCCAGATTCACTCTCACTCTCACCATGGGGGACCCAGCATGGAATGGTGGAAAGCAACTGAGTGTTGAGTCACACAGACCTGGTTTCAAATTCAGACCCTGCAACTTATGAGCTGGGTGTCTCCATACAAGTTGCTTAGACTCTCGAGCCTCACAAGTTCCATCTGTAAAATAAAAATGATTGTCCTTGGCAGGGTTGTTGTGAAATCAAATGAGCAAATCCTTCCTTCCCGCCCCCCACCCCGCGCCTGCCGGTCTTTCTTTTGGAAAAGACCACGATCCAGTGTAGCCCATGAGAGTTGCAAATGAAGGGAGAAATTCTTGCTTCCTTCTTGCCCCCTACTAGGGCCTCAGCTGTAATCTGCTGACTAAAACAGTTTCTCTCCTTCCATCCAAAAGCGGAGAGTCAAACCAGGCACTGTGCTTGTCACTCTGGATAAAGCCTTTCAGTGACAACCCAACTGATACAGGACTAAGCAGAGTAAAATATCTGATAATGAGGTAAGTCTCCTTTGGTACCAGAAGAGAGGTAAGGAGAAATGAGTGGGTGTTAGTGAGAGGTTAAGAGAAGAAAAAGTCTCAAAAATGGGAGGAGAAAGAAAAAGAGAACAAATGTAGGGCAATGTTTTAATTAAATTTCTATTTATTTATTTATTAGATTTTAATAAATAAATAATTTATTCATTTATTAACTAGAGAACAAGTTTTTTTTTCCAGCCAGTTGCTCTTAGAAAGTCACCATATTATGAGTAATAAACCAGCCATATTCCTTATTCAGATATCACCATGAAAGGGAAAATTTGAAAGCTAGCTATTTATTTTGGGGGCCTTGCAAGAAAAACTCATTTTCTTACCCAGAATCAGTTGCTGGGAAAAATTATATAAAATTACATTATAATTATATAACTATATATAAAAATTATATATATACACATACATATATATAGTATATATATATTAGCATATATGTAGTATATAGTGTGTATATATATATATATACATATATATATATAGTAGCAGGACCTTTCCCTTCTGTTGTTATTCAAATATAGCCCTGTTCTCTGGGCTGATTGAGGAAGAAGTTATAAGCAGGCAGTGAGCACAGATTAATGCCTTAATTAGTTATTAATACATGGTCACTGCTATTCTTAGAGATTACTGGTGTTTGGATAGCTACCTCAAAAATAGAGTCCGGATTTCATGGCTGTGTTTTATCACACATAAAACCAGGGACAGCTGATGGGTAAAAAGTTGGACCACGGTGCCATTTCTGGGAAGCCCTATTATTGCTTTTAAAAGTCATGCTGGAAAGTCTCCTGGTAACCCAATTCATCTTGAATATTCATAATTCATCCATTAAGAAACTGCCTTGACTGTAACTCAGTGTCAGGATTGACCACCTCTTCATGTGGTTCACAAAGTAACGGTGGTAGGGTTGGAAATAAATTAGTTAAATGTGGTTAGACAAAGAACAAATAATCCAATCAAGAAATGGGCAGAAGATATGAACAGACATTTCTGCAAAGGAGACATCCAAATGGCCAACAGACACATGAAAAAGTGCTCAACATCACTTGGCATCAGGGAAATCCAAATCAAAACCTCAATGAGATACCACCTCACACCAGTCAAAATGGCTAAAATTAACAAGTCAGGAAATGATAGATGTTGGCGAGGATGTGGAAAAAGGGTAACCCTCCTACACTGTTGGTGGGAATGCAAGCTGGTGCAGCCACTCTGGAAAACAGTATGGAGGTTCCTCAAGAAGTTGAAAATAGAGCTACCCTATGACCCAGCAACTGCACTACTGGGTATTTACCCCAAAGATACAAATGTAGGGATCCAAAGGGGTACATGTATCCCGATGTTTATAGCAGCAATGTCCACAATAGCCAAACTGTGGAAAGAGCCAAGATGTCCAACGACAGATGAATGGATAAAGAAGATGTGGTATGTGTATATATACACACACACACACACAATGGAATATTATGCAGCCATCAAAAAAGGAAATCTTGCCATTTGCAATGACGTGGATGGAACTAGAGGGTATTATGCTAAGCAAAATAAGTCAATCAGAGAAAGACAAGTATCATATGATCTCACTGATATGAGGAATTTGAGAAAAAAGACAGAGGGCCATAGGGGAAGGGAGGAAAAAATGAAACAAGATGAAACCAGAGAGGGAGACAAACCGTAAGAGACTCTTAATCTCAGGAAACAAACTGAGGGTTGCTGGAGTAGAGGGGGGTGGGAGGGATGAGGTGGCTGGATGATGGACACTGGGGAGGGTATGTGCTGTGGTGAGCGCTGTGAATTGTGTAAGACTGATGAATCACAGACCTGTACCCCTGAAACAAATAATACATTATATGTTAATAAAAAATTGTGGTTAGAAAATAAATCTAAACATGTGTTTATCAAATTTGGGAGGACTTTAGGTATTGTTAAAGGATAGAAAGTATATAGTTTTAAAGAACTGAAATGGGCAATCCTTTCCTAATTCCACATAATATTTGTTAATTGATAAACTTTGATTAACTCTCGGACTGCAAGTTCACTGACCACATAATTAATAGGAGTATTTATTGTTCATTATGGATGAACTAAGACCCCGGGGAGCTATTCAGTCCCATTTACGGAAGAAAAAAATAGTCACCATGCATGAGATCAATACGTGATGAGTTATGAGTGTGGTATTTACAACCTGAGAACCAAGTGACTCTGCCATTGCACAGTCACCCACTCTGAACTAGGAGCCCCCTAGTTGCTTGTCGAGTGCCCACCTGCTGAGTGCTCATGTGGGAAAAGTTCTAAGCAATGGAAACCATTTGCTTCTGCGGAGTTTCCCTAGTGATACCTGGTTGAGCTTCCTCCTCTATGTGGATGGCGTGGGATGTAACAGAGGTAATCAGGACCAAAGACCATGGAAGATTTGGGAGTTAAAAACAAACACCTGGGCTTGAATCTAGCCACCCTTTCCCAAACACAGCTGGGTCCAAAATAACGGCTGAAAGGGGCTCCTTCCTCAATTTGGCCCCAATCCTGCCCAGACGGAGGACTCCTCTGTTTCCACTAGAAAGAGCCAAGAGCAAAAACTGCATCCATCTGAAAATGTTTGGAAGAATTTCAGGGTCAGGGGAGACAAAAAAAAAAAAAAAAAAAGAAACCTCATGGTTGGTCTCACTGATAAGGATTTAAGTGTAAGGATGGAAAATGGCATCCATCAGAGATCACCACCTCTATGCGTCCCACGGGGTACCAGATACTTGCTAAGAAACAATCCACACTCCACCCTGAACCCCCAAATGCCATGGATGTCAGAACATCTGCCCCCAGGGGAGAAGTTCTCTATGAAGCTAAAGAAAAGCCACTGCGCCTCAATTCCAATGATGAAGGCAATGGGGCTTTAAATGATATAATTGATCACATTTGCATTATTATTTAGAAGATAAACTGCTTCCTTGCTTGCTTGCTTATTTATTTACTTATTTGCCACAACTGGCATAGCATTTAGTAATTTGGTTGAAGATACGAAGTAACCAGTGGTAATTTATTATCTATTTTATTAAGACATGGTGTTCAAGATGTGGGCTATATTTGTTCCCTTATCCAGAAGTGATCTCAATGGTGAGGAGTAGAGCAAAGGAAACCAGAAAAGAAACCATCTAAGAGATATGTGAGCAACGGAAATACCTGGCACAAATCCCACGCCCTTCCACGCTCTGAGCTCCTGGGAGAGGGCCTGAGGGCACCCCTCACTAGCTTTACTTCTGCATTCGATGTAATTCTCATAGCAAACTGGAAGCCAGTGATAGCAAAGAGAGAAAACGGATCCTGTTAGAGTCCTGCGGCTGGACGCGGCCAGAAGTGACAGAGAGCCAACGGTGATAAAGGAAACCGATAAATCAGAACGGCAGGGAAAATAACTCATCACCCTTTATCAGTGTGGGGAAAAGAAAATAGTGGCGCAAAGTGCAAGATTTGGTGTTTACATTAATAATGCTCTGATACTAAGGAAATGATATCTGTGCAAGGAAGACAAGCGATGTATTCTAGAAAGTGTTCCAGCAGCAAAGGATAAACTATTTTCAGTTCGGTCATTTTGAACATTCACTCATGGGCAACGCTCATTTCTCAGACTGGTCTGCATAGATAACAAAGGAGCAGTGGAAAACCATAGTTAAAGGAGTGGATATGGTAGCCAGCCTGCCTGGGTTCAAATTCCAGCCATAACACCTACTCCCTGTGAAACGCTGGGCAACTCCACCTCTCCGAATCTCAGTTCCTCAACTGTAAAATGGGTGGCAGGAAGGATTTAATGAGCTCATGTGTGTAAAGCACTAGAAGAGGGCCTGTCACACAGTAAGCACTAGGTAAGTGTTCTCTGGAAAGAAATTCACATTTACTGAGCACTTACTGTGTGCCAGGTACTGAGTGTGAGCTGTCCTCTTTATCATTTTATCCTATAAGCTGCTACTATATGAAGTATAGTATAATATCAGAATTTAGTCTTAAATATTCCTCAAGCCCAACGTAATTGATGACAAAGAATGATCAACTCTAAGACAAGTCAGCAAGGTCTATTAAATCTAACATTCATTTAACTTGTTTTCTGCTATAGTAAACTTTTTTCTTAAATTTTCTTAAAATTTTACATCCATTTAGTTTAGCTACTATTCTCTCTGTGAAGTGGCCTCTTAATTTTGCATGTATATTCATCATCTTTTCTGCAATGATTTCAGCTTAGTTACCATTTTAGACCTCAAGGATCCAATTATCTGGGAATATGAGGATAGGCATTAAATTCATCTGTGGGTACGCACTGCAACGATTTGCAAGATAAAAGCAGTGTTGAAACCAAAGTTCTGGGTCCCTAATAATGTCAAGAAGAAATATGCAATCATTGCCGAGCAAAAGCACTGGAAATCTGCCTTTTGAAATAGGCCTACAAAAATCAAATAGGTATAGAAATAAAGTACTGTAAGTAGAAATGTGACATTTTTGAGTATCAAAAAATTTATTTTCAACACCTACAAAATGCCTGACCAGTACTCTTTAAAACTATCAAGGAATGACTGAGAAACTGTCACTAATTAGAGGAGAAACAGGAAGCATGATGACAGAATGTAATGTAGTGTTCTGGACTGGATCCTGGAACAGAAAAAGTCATTAATAAAAAGCAGATGCAATTTGAATAAGGACTGGAGTTTCATTAATGGTAATGTACGAATGATAACTTCTTAGTTTTGATAATTGTATGATCACACTATAAAGATGTCAGTAATGGGAAAAATGGGTGAAGGGTACACAGGAACTCTCTGTATCATCTTTGCAATTTTTCTGTAAGTTGAAAATTATTCCAAAATAAAATCTTTACTTAAAAATTACTTTCGCGGGGCACTGGGTGGCTCAGTTGGTTAAGCCTCTGCCTTCAGCTTAAGTCATGATCCCAGATTCCTGGGATCAAGCCCCGAATCTGGCTCCCAGCTAAGTGGGGA